CTTCACGCATCCGTCTGACCCTTCTACGACCATCGTGGGCCCACAAGCAAAATCGAGACTCGTCACTAAACACAATTCGATGCCATTCTTGCGCCTAATTCGCTCTTTGGTTGCTCCATTCTAGCTTGCGTAGACGGTGAAGTGGTGTAAGAGGAAGACATAAAAATGGATCTCTTGTGACCAAAAATCTTAAGCGACGTTCTTCGCGATCTGTAGTCCTGCGGGGACGTCCAGATCCACGTTGTTGCACCCCTTCCTCGGACTATTTGGACAAACATCTCAATACCGTTGTAACATTGCGGTTTATACGATGAGCAGTTTCTCTTGGCCACGTTCAAAATTAGTCAATTGGGAAAAATGTTGATGTTGACGTACTCTTGGCATTGTTCAAGCCAGCAAAGTTCAGAACGAAATTGTTAGCAATAATTTGCAAAATCGCCAGTTAATTACACACTGATTTGTTTATTTCTTCAAATTTATTGTTACTAAGTGCAAAGGAAAAAACAAAAAAAGAATCAAACTACTAGCTAGATTTTATTCAAATTTTAATCGTTTGTTTGTTCTAATGAAAGACATCGTTGACGAAAATTTCAATAAAATAAATGCAATTTTTATGGAAGTCGGTATACAGCGTGTCCCGTATCTTCCGCATCAGAGCATTATACGGTTGTAGGATACATTATTCTGAAGCGATCTTTCTAATAAATTTTTTTCGAAATGTTTATAATAACCGCACGGGAACTGTTTAACGACGACCAATAACGGACAACTTTGATTCATCGAAAAAGTTTATTTCTCTTTCCATGACGAATTTATTGGTGAGTACACGTGGGAAACGAGTTATCATCGGCGTAGCGGACCGGCCGAGGGTGGCACCGATTACCTGAGTCTGATTTGCGATCTGCTGATTGGACGAAAAACAGTTCCTTTAAACAGTTCCCGTGCGGTTATTATAAACATTTCGAAAAAATTTTATTAGAAAGATCGCTTCAGAATAATGTATCCTACAACCGTATAATGCTCTGATGCGGAAGATACGGGACACGCTGTATATATATTGACTTATAAGTTTGAGTGCGTTCATTACGGCGAACTTGGCAATTCCTGAGGGCTGGAATAACAGTCAGAGGTAAACATCTGAGAGGAAACATTGTCCTTTACCATCGGAATCACGATGGCTACATAAACTTTTATCGCCAAGAAAAAAATTCGATAAAACACCCTTTAGTGCAGGTAAAGTGTTAAAAAAAATCAACGTAAGTTTTATTAACTAAAAAGTAAGTTTTCTGTGGTTCTTAATCAAAATGTAAATCACAGTTAGAAGTTGACATAATTAAAATCGTGCAAAAAGCTATGTTCCTACTACTAAGCTTTAGCAGGAAGCGAAGGCGAACAAACAAAAGTGGTGTTATAATTTCCCTGGACAGTGGTCCTCGGATATAATATTAACCCAATCTCAAACTCCGGTCGTCACCCATACCCATAATTTCACGGAGACCGCAGTAGTTCTATATCGTGGTTTGGTGGGAGACGCGTTCGGCGCGTTATGTTATGATTAAAACAGGCATCTATAAATGACGCTCTTTAATTAAAAATTTGCATATGAACAGTAGCCGCCCCCATATCAAACCTGTAGGTACGACTTAACTTCACTCCTCATCGATTTATTCTAATGGACGGAAACCACGTAAACCGCATCGTAATAAGTTTGGGTAAGAGGAATTCTACGATTAAGTAAACTTTTTTCCGAAAATTTTTTTATTAATAATTTTGTAATATTTTTTTAAATACTATTTTCCTATTTCCAGATGAATACCAGCAAATTAATCATATTATCAGCCTACTTAGTGGTGGCTGTGTTCGCTATATCGGAAGAGCAAGAGTCCTATACATATCAAAAACGAGGACCAGCAGGTAAAATAAACAATTTCTTTTCTAAAGATATTAAATTTTTTGTTTTAGAATTTAGTTTGGGTCCAAGATATGGAAGAGCCAAAGTAGACGTTCCCGTACAAAGAAGCGGCAAATTACAGCACAGAAGCAACCAATTCTATTTGGGACCCAGGTAAAACAAATCTTTATACAAGAATTTCCTTGTGTGGTGATCGGAAATTCTCTCTAAATCCAAATTATGCCCACGTAATTAATAATTAACTACACACCACGCTAAATTTGAAAGTATCTATAATAATCCAAACCGGCTAATTTGGTTATTTCCTTATTCAACACGCCCGATTATAATTATCCTGATTATACAGCAGATTAATTAAACTTGAGAATGAAATCATATAACCTGATACAATTTAATTCAATATTTTAAAAAAGAATCCATAAGATTTCATTTTATTAAAATATTACAACATTACTTATTGTTATTTTTAGATATGGTAAACGATCCAGCGACCCACAGGCCATCATGAGCGTATTCCCACAATCTCAACATCGTCAACCGCCCTGTTTCAACGATAACGACTTCGCGTGTGACTACACAGGAGTATCCAATTTGTACCGTTGTATTGAAAGGTAAGTCGACCAACGATCCCCTTTATAAAACAACATCGGCATCGTACACACTTACGTGAAACCGCGAAAAGAAAATTGTAATAAAGTGACTCTTTTAATATTATTGCTATACATTATTATAATATTATCAGATTTTATAAAACTTTTTAACAATAACTATAATTTAAACGATTTAGCATTATTAGTTTTGTACAAGCTAAAAGTTGTCTAATGGGCTAAATTTTATACGTGAATAAAAAGTTATAATTCTCGAAATAACCTGGAGTACCAACTAAACAACCACCAATTATAAAAATAAATAACTTTCATTATACAGAAAAAAGAAGGGTGGAAATGAAATACTATTAAAAAATGTATTACGAGCTGAATTAAGGAATGTTCCATTAAAGAAAGGGTAGAATGAAATTGCAAGAAATTAGTTTCAAGAGAAAAAAAAATGCGATTAGTCTTCCTAAGAGTTTTTTTTTNAATGTTTATAATAACCGCACGGGAACTGTTTAACGACGACCAATAACGGACAACTTTGATTCATCGAAAAAGTTTATTTCTCTTTCCATGACGAATTTATTGGTGAGTACACGTGGGAAACGAGTTATCATCGGCGTAGCGGACCGGCCGAGGGTGGCACCGATTACCTGAGTCTGATTTGCGATCTGCTGATTGGACGAAAAACAGTTCCTTTAAACAGTTCCCGTGCGGTTATTATAAACATTTCGAAAAAATTTTATTAGAAAGATCGCTTCAGAATAATGTATCCTACAACCGTATAATGCTCTGATGCGGAAGATACGGGACACGCTGTATATGATGTTTTATTATAGTGTTGAAGTTTGTGTCGATATCATATCAATTCCAGCGTCTTGACCGCAACTGATCTCGGCGTTCTGACTATAAATTAGTATTCATTATTATGTTAACCATCTTTATGTCACTATAAAATAAACTACATCGTCTTGGTTGCAAGAAACCTAGAAGTTTCGAACAATATCATGTTTTTTATAAGTGTAGTGACCAAGTTAATTTCAATATCACATCAATTCCAACGCCTCGGTTGCAAGTGACCTGGGCGTTTGGAGTATATATGATGCTTTATTATAGTATTGGCAAAGTTTGTGTCGATATCATATCAACTTCAGCCTCAACCAACTTTAGCGTTTTCAGTACAAATAATTATTCACTATGTTAACCATCTTTATGTCGATATAAAATAGATTTCATCGCGTAGGCCACAAGCGTCTACGGATGTTTGAATAATATGATGCTTTCTTACAGTATTGACCAAGTTATTATCGATAGTATATCAACTCCAGTCTCCCAGCCACAAGCGACCCCGGCGTTACGACTATACATGATGCTTTATTATGGTGTTGACCAAACTTGTGTAGATATTATATCAACTTTAGTGTCTTGACGTTCTGTGTAAATATGATGCTTTGTTACAGTGCTGACCAGGTTTGTGTTGTTATCATATCAACTCCACCGTCTCGGACTCAAGACCTTGTAATTTTGAATACAAATAATTATTCATTGCAAAATTAACCATCAAAGGAATATCACTAAAGAACATAGATTTTGGTCTGGATTTTCAAATCAAACCTTTATGATAGAAAGAATTCCGAACAGCATTAACAAGTCTTTTGATAGAGGCTGAAAAAGACTGAATTAGATTCATGTCCTTTTTCACCAATTGTTAATCATAATAGGGCAAAAAGATCTGGCATAATTAAATTCAAACATTAAACTTTTCCAGTTCATATGTAAGATGCGTTAATAAATGTTTTATCGATGTGATTCCTGACATACACATTGACAACAGTGCAAATAATTTGTGTACCTATTGATACATGACCATCACACGAACACATTGTCTAAAAACTTGTTGAGTAATTACTTCTAAAGAGAAGTAATCTTATCGTAAAAAAGAAGCATCTGATTCCAAAATGATTCCACATTTAGCACCAAGAGCTGCGTTAGAAAGCTGGTAGCTGTCCTGTGAAACATTCAGAGATTCTGATGTGTTATTTAACACAAAAATACTTTAGGATAAAAGGAGAAGTGCGTATTCTAATTTTAAGGAAATAAAGGCTGGAAAATAAATTTTTGTATCACAAATAACGTGCGTCAATGTGCTTACTCCATGAGTTAAAAACTGATTGTTTAATGTCCAAGTCCGACAGACTGGGCAAAAGTGTTGAAATATGTATTTAAAATATATAAGTTCTAACTAAAGGATGTTCTAAAGAAAACTAAAAACTACAAAATTTATTGCGGTTTTTCCAATGTAATATCAATTTCGTGTTCCTACTGTGGAAGAAATTTGTTCTTTGCTATTGACTTTTTTCACTCGCGTGACTATTCGTTCCACTTAAACTCACATTTGAAACAACGAGAAGATAGATTATACTAACAGGTTGAGTACTTATCTCAAATCGGTTGTCTATTACTTCTTTTTCTTGTTGGTCCGTTAGATATCTCTTTATTCTTTCGTTTGGAGTACGTCCTTTAGAAGTTGTTCTTCATTTTTAAAAATTTTTCAGTACATTTTGGACCTCTTCTGTTTTGGGTAGTGCTGCGATGAAGCCTGTAGGTATCTCTTTGTGTAAACTCTCAAGCCTTTGTTTGCCGTCTGGCGGCAAACAATTAAATCATGTACGTATCGTAACCACACAGTTTCTTCGAACAGCTCGTAAAATTCTCCTTTTCTGATTAAGTAGATGATGGCAGGTGAATCTATCTATATGGGACGTACCTCGGCAAATTCTTTGGTATATTTTCCGTTGTAAATCCTTCACGTCTGATAAAAGGTGATTCCATGTTGACGCTAGCTTATCTGTGGTGTAGATCCAAGAGAATGTTGCCGATTTTTTCCACAAGATGTATTTAATCTTTATCGTATAGGAAAAAGGCAATTTTTCTTATATTTTATTATTATGCTTTTCTCGCAATTTACTTGCACGATTTAGTGTAATCTCATGTAGTCTCAGCGATCGCAATTAAATTTTTTTACGGTTAACTGCAAAAAAAGCGATTCCTCATAGATATTATGTAAACTTTTCTCCACACTTAGGTTTAATGTCCTGTTTTTTAATATGTCTTTTATTTTATTATGATTTTAATAAACTTTCGTGCCTCATCTGTATCATTAATGAGCAGTTATTTAAATGAAATAAGATGCAGATATTTTCGTAGACCTTGGTCGTTTATGAAAAACGTCGGTATTGGTCACTATTTTTTCAATTCCATTTTTAGTTATTATCTTTAAATTAGTTTTCCTATAATTTGGTGGAGACGTTAATGCAATTGACTAAATAATTATGAATCTCTACACTATAATAGTAAAACGTTACTAGCGAAAAAGCATCAAATTCGAATTCCCCATGTTAAAACGTTAAAGGTTAATAATAATGTTAAAACTTTAGAAGTTATTGCTTGATAATTTAACAGCAATAAAATTAAACCGACACATGTTCGTTTTTATATGTTGTGTGGTGAACCGTGGAAAATATACGTAGCAGATATTGGCGATTGACGAGAGTGAAAACATACGTCTATACGCAAAATTTTAAGTACATCTGTATGACATACAAGGGCGAATTTCTTTTGAATCACAAAAAAAAATGGACAGTTATTGATCATTCTGAATGACGAGGTAAATGACATATGTTGCTAACAATGAATCATCATGGTTTACTTCTTAATCTCAATAAATCAGTAAAAATCAAGAGTTGAAACTTTTTGTAGTTAAGCAGACGTTAAACTTTTAATAACTTGTCTACCCAGGTTAGGGATTAATATTAATTAATTATCATTGTTTCTTGTAAATTCCATATTAGAACTTAAAATTAAAAACAAAATCTGATATTAATAAAACCAACATATATGGTCAGTTGTTTAATTCATCTTCTACAATCTCGTCAGTCTTGAATTAAGAGATAGCCTAGAACAACGAGAACAACAGCACCACGACCAGGTAAGCAGTAAGAAAATAGTGCGAGTGGTAAAATTCGTAGTCTTGAGAGATATGGTAGTAGGGAGCACCCTTTTTGTAAAGAGCTGTAGAGGAGCAAACATTGACTTGGCTATTTCCAGCTAAGATCGAGGATAAAGGCTACAATATCGGATACGAAGAACGAAAAAATTGAAAGGAGAAAGAATACCCAGATTCATCACCGAGAGGCTGCAGGGCGAAGATAAGCTAAAGCAGTTTCAGGAAGAGATAGCAATAAACCTACTAACCAACGAGGACATGATAGCACGAAAAAGTGTATAACACCTCTCAGAAGTTATAAGTTCCCCTAAACAACAGAAAAGAAGCAAATGGTTTGACAAAGACCGCGATAGAGCACCAACGAGGAAAAACGCCTATAACAAAATGGTCAAGAAGAGAACGAGAGAAATGTCGTAGAATTCAAAGAAGCGAGAAAACAGGAGAAACGGATTCACAGAACGAAGAAGTGAAATGACGCAAACATTATTGGTGTAATGGTTGAGAATCACGGCTTATCTTAAAGGAGTGAATCTATACTTTTGCTTGATCGTTTATAATTTATAATTATATTTTATAATCATATCGTTCCTTGATAAAGCCGAGACCGCATGAGACCGCACGATTAACCCCATCTCCCCAAAACTGATTAACATATTGCAATATCTCAGGCGGAAGTAACGTTGGCTAAGCTTAGCTAACCTTAAGGGTATCAGGCTTCGCTTAATTAACCCAAGGTCGCTTACATACAAGGCGCTATAATAAGTTGACCAGTTTCGGATTGATATGATATTAATTGAGCCTCGGTCGCAAGCAACTTCGGCTTATCTTAAAATAGAGAGTTTATCACTTCATTGATTAAGCTGAGGATACTTATTATTATTCCAAACGGATTAACATAATGAAACGCCTCGGCCGCAAGTGACCTCGGTTAATCTTAAAATATCTATGACCTCGCCTTAAGTTGCTTGAGGTCGAGGCGGTATAGTTGGAATCTAGTTAATCATAGACTCCA